CATATTCTGTTAACTTAAGTTAATTACCTAATTATTTTATTTCTATACTAAGGAAAAGTTTATTATATAAAAAAAAAAGAAGAAATGATAATGGGTCAATTCAAAGTAACTAATTAGGTACCTGCTACCTGCTTTAGTATAAAACAACTAAATAGGCAGGTACATAAAATATTTAAATTATTCTATGTTATGTCTATTGAAATGCAATATTGTGTACTGTAATACGTAAGTAGTAGGTACTAAAAAGTTTACAAGTAAGAGCATCATTGTCAGAGAATATTGTCATATTATATAATTAGATGTAGGTTCTAAATCTATAGCATATTATAAATATTAAAAATTAAAGTATGTACCTATTGTTAAAATTTAAAAATATTAAAAAATTTAAAGTATTTATTAAACTGATTATTATTATCAATCGGATTTTAAAGATAGATAGTTAATAATCTAAGACAGTGGATAGTCATTTTGTCTTATCTATACTTCTATACTATTATATAAAATGGTAAGGGTTTTCTTTGACCGCGCTAACCGAGAAAACTACTGAACCGATTTGGCTGAAATTTTTTACTGTTATACTTGACAGTCTGTTGGAGGTCATAGTACCACTTTTGTTTAGAAAAATCCACCAGAAAAGTGGGAAATATGGATGTCAAAAATACAATAGTGGCGCAATCTGTCCATAAAAAAATAAACTAATTAATAAAAAATTAAAATAAAGTTTATTGTTGCAGATCAGGCCTATGCAACTCCCCAACCAATTTACACAAATCAGTAGTGCTCTTATTAGTCTTATTGTCGGGTCCCGCTCTGGTGGCGCGCTCTAGAAGTAATTTGTAGTTCAATCATTCAAAGGTAAACCATATATATAAACATTTTTACTGTTATAATAGTAATTATTATTTCAAATTATAAAACATTAAAACCTAAAAATTAATATTATACTAAATACTTATAAAGGCTATAAAAGTATAAAACATTAGAATCTAAAAATTAAAAAATATTATGAAATGATTAAAAATACCAAATATCAACATTTAAAATATCCAGAATCCAGATCTTACAGGTAAATTAATATAAGTATTATTATTATTATGTTTTACAAAATTATGATAATTGTTTTTTTTTTTTTTTTTAAGTTTTCTTTAGATTTATCTTGATTTGACTGTCTCGTGTACTGTCGCATTACTTACGTGGTATTGTATCAAATAAGAAATAATGTAATCTTTATGTTCTGCACATGGGAAAGTGAATGATTCTAATTTAGTGATTAATCCATCTACGATATAATCAAATACAGTTAAACTTTCACAATACATAAAGGTTTTTAAGTCTAAAATCATCGAAATAATAATAATATACTTGGCCGGTAGATGGCGTCACCAGTGCGGGACCCGTCAATAAGAGCTTCATAACCGGGGATTAGTTGCCAGACCTAATTATCTAAGACCGTGTTGCAGATTAAAATAATAATAGTGTATTTTAATATATTGGTTGCTATGTTATCTATACTACTATATAAAATTGTAAGGGGTTTTCTGCGACCACGCTAAAGGTAGCCACACACGGTCCGGTCAGCCTGTCAGTTATGCCTGCCGGAGACCGGTCGGCCGTTGCGTTTGTGGGTTCCGGTCGCCTGAACAGTTATATCTGTACAGGCCGCCGGAGAAAATATGAAAACTCGTTCGTCCATCCGGCCGACTGCGGGACTGCGCAGGCGTTCGAAACGTGTATGGGTTCCGGCCGTCCGGCCGTCCGGCCAAATACAATATAAAACTTGCCGCGGCCGGACAGATTCGCCGGAACGTATGGGGGCGCTGACGTCAGTCCGGCCGACCGGTCTCCGGCGGCCTGTGCAGGCATAACTGACAGGCTGACCGGACCGTGTGTGGCTACCGGGAAAACTACAGAAACGATTTGCTGATTCCTTTTTGTTGTATTCGTAATTGTCAGGACAAGGTTCTTAAGAAAGAATATTTTAGGGAAATTCACCAGAAAAGTAGGAAGTAGGGATGTCAAAAATACAACAGCGGCGCCATCTGTCCAGAAAAAAATTAACTAAATAATAAAAAATGTAGTTAATTGTTGCAGATTAAAATAATAATAGTGTATTATATATCGGTTGCTATTGGTTAATCGGGCATGTTTGTTGATTTGTATTATTATTTTTCGTAGATATATAATGTTATATAATGTTTGTGTGTAGATTAGACCTCTGGGAAGAAGATAGATTAATTTAACAAGGGTTAAATTTGGTTTTTTTTTATTCATCGGATTTTAGTACGGTTAGGTTAGGTTAGGATTTTGTATTGATTAATTAAATCAATTCACCGTAGGTGGAATGAAGTAACTTTGATACTCTAGAGCTAATTCATACACTTACGTACAAACAGCACGGGATCAGCGATCTACCGCAGGTAGATTGCCTACCTGATAATATACAGCTGAGAATCAGAATTTTTAGCATATGGCAGATACCTACGAGTGCCCAATTTGAAAATTCTGCCAAAAAACCCAACACACAAGTGTGCCCCCCCCCCCAACCGACAATACAACGTTAAAAAAAAATTATTATATTATAACAGTTTATTTAACAAACCCAATATTAAATTCTAAACATACTTAATCAAATTTGTTTTACAAAAGTCACCTCACTAACTCACTTACAGGGTAAGTGGTATATAAAAGTGGGGGAATTGTGTGTGTTACAACCCCCACAGGTTTTTTTTTGCTATAGAAAACTGTCAAAGCCTAAAAGTTAAATTAATAAATGTGTGGTGTCCCCTGAAATCAGATGTATTAATACTAGGTAAGTAGTCTTGTACTCGTGACTTGTCAAACTATACTTGTGCCTGAAAAAGGGGCAACTTTGTCACCCTGGATATGCATATGGGTCATAGCAATATTTCGATACATAAAGTTATATTAGTCTATATTAAAATATATTATCTAAAATAATCTGATACAAATAGATGATAGTATGATACATCAGGGATTTGCTCAGAAATTTTGGATGGGGGGAGGGGATGTTTGTTTGAAAATTGTTTTCAAACAGAATTTTTGTTAAATTTAGTGTTATTATGAATTGTAACAAGACAGAATGGTATTGCAATAATATATCAATATGAAACAGTTCACGCCATCTACTGGAGACCACAGACGCCACGCAAAGTCTATACAATCTCAGGAAGACGAACCGAACCAGCTTGCACCAACGCAACACAGAGCGCGCGCAGGAGCATCCTCTTTTGGTACTGACACTAAACTTCAACTTTAAAGTTTCAATCTATGAAATCAAGATAACCAATACATAAATAAGCTGTGCCACTTAGTCCCTCAAAGAACGCGCATAGCCGCCCAGTCGGAAAACACAGAATTTGGGAAAAACTCTAACAAACCAACACCCAGAAATCGTCATACAGAACAGTAGATGTAAGCACGAAGGTGCACAAATACCGGTCAGCTTCGACGGTAAGGGTGGTTCACCCTACACCATGTTGTGTAAAATATTCGTGGTTAGCGCAGTTGCCAAGCGATGTTTACCAAACAATTATTGTGGTTCAGAACGGTACTAAAGGGCACCATCTCGGTATACGTGGTATCAAGTATCAACCAACAACAATTCTGTAGTAAACATAGCTCTGTAACTGCGGTAACCGTGAATATTTCACACCATGCGGTGGAGTGTGAACCAGACAAAACGAGGAGAGGTGTATACCTATATTGACCAGATACGTTCGCTCTGAACGGGGTCTCACATTGAGGAAATTCTGGAGCGGCAAACGTTGCAAACGTTTGATAACGGAGAAATTCGGAACGTCCGGTTGCTAAACGGTTGCTGTAAACGTTTGCAAACATTGTAAACGCCCTAATCCAGCGTTTGGTCTGTTTCGTTCTAGTAACCATAACCGTGGTTGCCTTTGTTTATACTTTTGCCGATCGTTATCACTATTACTATCACGACTTATCACGATTTACTTTTTATGTCATACACCACGACCGCGGTTTAACAAGATACCAAGAGCTCACGAATTTCTACCTCTTCAACGTTTCAAACGTCGGTGTTTGTTCTGCAAAACGTTTGCCGCTCCAGAATTTCCTCATACGTTTCCCCATCGGTACTTAATATGGGTCAAGCCGGGTTCACACTAAAATAATCACGGTTACCACAGTTACCAAGCTATGTTTACCACAGAATTTTTGCGGTTTGGTACGGTTGACGCTACGAATACCAAGATGGTACCTAGTACTATAGAACAATATAGAAGTGAAACTCGATCAGCTGATTGGGGTCTTGGTTACCTAAATCTGAAGTCTGAACCTACGAAAAACATGAAAACGGTTCCACGGTCGGCTTGTTTACCATTCTCTCTTTCACGTATGCCACGCCCCCCTGGAGACCGTGTTCAAGGCCCCAATCGCCTGATTCGGCCAACGCACGGAGTTTCGTACCCCTGCTAGTACCGTTCCGAACCATAATAATTGTTTTGGTAAACATCGCTTGGTAACTGTGGTAACCATGATTATTTTACACGACACGGTGTAGTGTGGACCTAGCTTTAGGTTAGAATTGGTAAGAAAGTGGTTGTTTGTGTGCACATTGAATTGATGGATTACAAACAAAAAAGGATTAATTTTTGCAATTTCATATCCGGTAATGGTTTGTAACAGTTGTATTCAGTATCAGTACAGGCGCGGTTCTAGGACTAAATTTTCGTATGGGCAACATTAGATTTAAAATTAGGTTTTAACTGCAAATAATATTTCTCATTTCCTCCCCCTTCCCTACAAAATTTTTTTAATAAAATTATAGTATTATTATTATAGTGTATAGCTTAAAATATTCATATTAATTATAATAGATAGGTAATAAAGGTTTTAAATATAAAAAAAATAGAGTAATCCATAGTTTTGAAATAATTATGTATAGTTATGTTTATTTAAATTTAACTGTCAAAAAAGTTCAGACTGTTCAAACTAATTTTAAGAAAAATAGTAAGCTAAATTTGAAATTGTATTCTTCTGTTTTTCATGCTTGCAAACACTTCAAGGACAGCAGTTGGATCTTTTAATAATTTATCTGAGTTTTCAAAATCAATTGATAAAAGTGTAAGGCTACTTAATCGTGAACTCTTCATAGTCGATCTTAAATATGTCTCAACACGGCGCATGGTGGAAAAACTGCGTTCTGCACTAGCTGAAGACACAGGAATGGCCATGACCAATTCAATTATATTTTTTTTACATGGTCAAAAGTCTCACCGTAGTTGCTTATTTGTTGATGTAGGTCAGATAATGTTAAATTATCCAAAAATAAAGATTTTCCAATCAGACACTGGTTCTTCAATACTTCTATAAAGTCATTAGTTGTATATGGTTGATACATATTACCTAATTTAACAAACAAATCTGAATTTAGAAATTCACTTGATTTGGGGTAACTTGCATGGATATAATTCAATATTTCATTGTTTTGGGTAAATCTATAAATCATTTCATTATTCATATTATCTAAAATCTGGAAAAAGACTAAAGGTATAGTAGGTTACGTTAGAAAAAGTTTAAATTGTTTTTTGAATAAATTGATTGGATTTTTTCGGTTCAGTTAAGGCCGTAACTGTAAACAAATTTCGGTGGAAGAGAGGGTCCAAAATTTTTTTAACATACATTCTGGACACTCATAATTTTCACGTTTAAAACATACAAACTCTTTATTCTCGTTATGTCTGTTTTAACGAATTTATAAAATTATTCTTAATACAATACTTAATAAAAAATATTCACTGCTAAACTTTTTCTTATTTAAAATAAAATTTGGAGGGTCCGACTTCCTGAACCCCTCTCAGCTACGGCCTTGGTTCCGGTTCATTATATTATAATTTTGAATATAGTTTTTAGCAACCATAATTTCAGATTAAACTGAATTCAAATCAATTTTTAGTAAATCCTAAATTAACCAGAAATTCTGGGGGGCTAATATTCATACTGGGAGGGCTAAACCTCCAGGCTCCCACTCGTAGATACGCCTATGAGTATATCTACATTTCTAAAGGTCGATTTTGAAAATTACATCATTCTATAACTACACAACCTTATTTAACACTTGCAGTAGTAGTAAACTGTCTAAGTAGAGTAAAGTTAGGTTAGATTATGCAATAGATAAAGTAATCACCCCTTTCTCAGATTATTTTCACATGAAGTCTCATTTCTATTATTTATAACAACATAAATTTGTAGGAACGCTTAAACAGTTAAACAAAATTTACTTATATATTACATGACATAACGGTAGAAGTATGAGTATAAGTATGATAAAATTATGGAAAAAACAAAAAAATAAATTTCACATTGGATACAGAACCCGGATGTTGGACACTGTCTTGCTCCGCATCTATCTCAGTGCAGGATTTAACCTATTAAAAATATACAATTTGAACTTGAATGATAAATCATCGATAGTATAATATGATATTATATTTGTTAATATCTGTTAGGTTTAGATATTAATGTATTATTATAAGATCATTTTTTATTTTTTTATATCTTTTAGGTCACAAAACAAAAAATTGAATTTTCAACGATTATGTTGTACTATAGGTAGTTAATAGATATAACACTTAAAAGTATTTCAATTTTAGGTGAGCGAAACTGTAGATGCTAACAGGGGTCCCCGCAAAAAAAATGTTGGTACATTATTCTGGTTTTCTAAACTTTAAATACTTACCTGTCTATAAATAACTATAACAGCTGGTTAGAAATTCGATTTTTATGAACTGAATTTCTCAGAAAAACATTCTACTAGAAAATGTATGCTGTCATTCAACAAAGGTAAAGTAACATAATATTTTTCCAAAATCTTCTTTTGTAATTACTTATTCATATTATGAAAAATATATTTCTTATTTTTATTTTTTATACTGTAGAAAACTAGGTGTTAATCTATAAAAGAATCTCATTGAACATAATATCAATATTAAATGTCATATAATAACTAAATAAATCTGATTTCTTAACTGTTCAAAGTAGAATCACGTTTTCTTTCATATAAAATGTATATATTTATTGGTGTCATTGTGGAAATTAATTAGACCCCAATTTATTATTTTGGATTATTATTTTTACTAACGTTAATAACCGCGCTCTATATCTATGAGCTATTATAAACACGTTCTATATTATGGCGGATATGTTTAAAACTGTTGAATTGTGTCTTATAGAAGTAAAATATATTTCTGTGATTAAAGCTATAGTCGAGGGCATAAATCGCAGGAAATATTTCTTGACGACTGGCTGGTTCTTGAGTGGTCAAAATCCCATGTTTGGTAGGTAGAAGGTTTGGGAATTAGTCTTCAAGTATATATGTCTCGGAAGTAATACTTGGATATTATATTTTCTCCGAGTAATTCAGCTGAATGGGTTATTAACAATTTAACGCTACGAGTTCGCAAACTTTACTCGTGGATTTGAACGTGTACGCGAGAATTACTGTCATCGGGCGGGACGAGCAATTATTCCCAATCATTGGGTAAGTATTAGGTAGCCATTACTGGGGGTTGAGCTCGTCAAGCAAGGCTAGGTTGAGGCGAATAAGGTTTGAGAACTTCCTATGAGAGTCCCATGGTAGTACGATGTCATGGGCAAAGTCAGCACAGTACGGCAGTACCTAACCCTCGACGATACGATGTCACAAGGTAAACAGACATTCAGTGTAAAGTGTGAAGTCAAGACTCTAATATTCAGAAATACGTACCCACTACCATAGAAAATACCATTTAGCCACGAGTCATGACGTATACTAAACTAAAATAAACGATAATACCTATGCCAAATCGGAATATAATATATATATATGATTTTCAACACAGAGAAGACTGGAGTGTGACTTGACGTGTTGGTAATTTTTTTTGTATGTTTTACACATTTTGATTACTAAATTGTCTATGTATTGAAAAAGATTAATTTCTTGGGTTTATCGTAACATTTATGGGTATAGAAGAGCGTTATATTCGTCGAAGCATTATCGTCGCGCTGTTAATTTACGCTACACACGTCATTCGAATTTGATAACTTTTCTGCTTCCCCTGCAGTACCTATATTATTATACGCACAACGCACGCTTTTAATTTATACCGTATCATATTACGACTATGAAATATCTATTTTCCGAAACTTCCACTAGTATTTAAACTTTTGGAATGTCACGAGCCGAGGGTAGTGCTGCACAGGGGGTTTTAAACGTCCCCATATAAATAGGCGCTGCACGGCACGTGTTTACCGATCACTGTACTCAGTGCTGCTGCGGTTATAGGATTTGTGCGATAGTGGTAAAATACCTAATTCAATTATTTCTTTAAACCAAAATTCAATTAGTGTGAAGATGCCGCCAAAAACGGTAAGTAATAAAATTGACTGTTAACATAATATTATGTGAGCCTATAGATATTACAAGATAATAAATAATAATATTCCCGTATTTGGAATCAACTTTCAAGTTGAACTTAACTCCACAAATATTTTTTAGGATTTTCTGAAGTTTAAATGACGACATTTTATATTCTGAAACCATAAATTAACGATTGATGATAGATTTTAACTTTTCAGTTATAATTCTTAAATATTACACTGCTAGATGCCCACTCAGCTTATCATTTTCTTTATTTAATGAAAATATTATGTTCGTGATATTTTGACTAATTTTAGGCTATTTATAATTTTTTTTTGTTATCGTTTATAAAACTATTTGTCTTCAGTCAAAAAGTTTACCAATTTAATACAATAGGTATTAAAAAGGTTCTTCATAAGTTTTTACCAAGGATGCAGGATTTTTTGTTATAGACATTTGAAGTTCAAATTTACACGAAATTAAATGTTTAAACACTTTAAACGAAGAATAAAATAATTTTAGTTATTTTGTTGCAATTCAAAAATATTATTCGTATACTTTTATGTGTATTATATTTTATATTCTACACAATGGCCTTTTTAAAATATTTATATTCATTTTAAGCTATTGCCTATTTATACCACAAACAGGCAACAGACTTCACACCGTTCATCGGTAAGTCGGTATTCACTCAAAAACTAAAAACAAACATAATACTATAATATGATATAAATATGTACCTATTGACTATTATTATAATAATTAAATATTAATGAAATAAATTCAATGTTTTTTATAAAAATAATTCAACCCTATCTAATAGACAGTACTTTCACTTTTTACTAATAGGAAAATAAATAATTAATATAATAGTAGGTAATACAGCGATATTATGGTATCATAAAATATACTTAGTAATATAGCCTATAGGTCATCTTCCCTCAGAATATATATTTGTATGCAACGGTTTATAATTTAATTGAAATTTAACACATCCATTACAGTGGTCAGAGGCTTACTCAATAATGAGGTATACCCGACACCTGTTCAGGCGCGGATCCAGAGCAAATTTCTGGGGCGGGGTGGGCTTAAATGTTGTTACAACACAAATACGATGCACTTACATTGATTATGAATACAGTATGTATAGTATTTATCATGACAAAGTATTTTAAATATTTTGTCATGGTATTTATAATCAATGGTATTGAGACATCAGGTAGTAGATCTGTGGAGGGGGAGCTAGCCCCCTGGATTCCTCCCCACAAGTTTACATGACTGTTCAATAGTAAACGTTTTGAAAATAATATTATGTTCTACACAACAATGTACCTATATTGCCTATACATTTCGCCGTGATATAATATAATCGAAAACAATATTATACTAATTATAATTTGGCAAAATACAAAACCCTGCAACAACCAAAGGTAAGATTATTGTCTAGACAACCTCATGGGCTTTTTATTATATTTTAATTTTAAAGCGAGCTATGAGTATTTTAAAATCGTAAATTATTTGTACATTTTAAAGTACTCATAACTCGCTTAAAAATTAAAATAAAATAAAAAGCTGATGAGGTTGTCTGGATAATAATCTTAACTTTAGATTTTATAAGAGGTCAATTTACTCTAATTTTTAAATTAACTACACGTGTTTAGCTGAGCGTAAAATTTGCTGTTATGCACTTTGTAAGACGGAGACAACACATGTTGGTATCATGTCCTCTTAACTGGTACACTTTGTAAATTATTATTATTTTACTCACCGGTAAACCGCTCGGTCGGAACCGTGTGCGATATGTACTAGTTTCCTGTATTTGGTATTATTGTTTAT